TCACTTCAACATAAGAGCTCCCCGAGTGAAATAAACTACATGTATGCTATAGAGAAACTTGATTAAATGTATACCAACTCTAAAAATAATCAAAACGGCATTTAATTAAAACGACGTTTAATAGTCAGGAAAGTATTAAAAAAATCGATGATATTACATAAAAAGCAGAAATATGTCCGTTTAATCAAGTTTTGATAACTGAAAATCAGTATTAAGTTAAAAAAAAAATAACTTTAATATGTTTGTAATCAATATTAAGTTTATAACTGAAAATCAATATTAAGTTTAATCATCATGAAAGTATTAAAAAATCGGTGATTTTTACGTACAAAATCAACTTAAAATCAATATTAAGTTTATTCAATTACTTAATATGTCCGTTTAGTCCAACATTTAATTTAAAAAAAAATGGATATTTGTACCAAAAAAAAAATGGATATGTTTGTTTAGTCCAACATTTAACTTTAAATAATAATTTAAATATTACTTTGTCATGCATCGCACTGAATATGCATTAGTGTCAAAGCATGATACATATTTTCATCGTATCCAACTAAAATACTTTGATGGAGGCTCATTTACATACCAACATAACTTTTGCTATTTCATTGTATTATCTATATCTATATAAAAATAATTACTATTTTTTTAAAAATGACAAGTCAATTGTGATCAAATATGGTTGAACATTAATTGCATGCTATTAATAGCAAGTTTTTATTTTATTTTTTATTTACAAACATGCATCATTAATTATTGCACTTAAACGTGAAGTTTGTTAAGTGGAGTTTGTTATTTATTTTTGCGCAAGATTAAGTTGTTCTTTTTTTATTTTCACAAATTAAAAAAAAAACTTATTTTAACATATAACCGTGTATCACATTGCAAATTTCATTTCATTAAAAAAATAAATTACGCTTAATTTAATAATATAAACTTACGTTAGTATTTACAAAAAATCAGAAACTCTTTTAACATCAACTCGGCTACTACAATTGTTTTAATCAGATGCTTTTTTTTTTTAAAAAAAATAAATAAATTACAGTTCATTTATTTAGTGGATTTGGTTCAATTAATAAATTACAATTCCTTTAAACCCCCAAAAGATAAATTAGTGAATTTGGTTCTACTAAGTTCCAAAAATTTCGATCATTGAATGCAATTTGGAATTACAAATCCTTTCTCATATATGATTTAAAAAATTCAATTGTGTTTTTTATTCTAAACAACCAGGTTGCCGAAAAAATTACCATAAAACTTGAATTGAAAATTTGAAATTCAAGACCCCTTATCATTTTAGTTGCCATAAAATTAGGCTTAATTCAAAATCTCTTCCTAATATAAATGATTTTGTTCAAATTGAATTAAAAAATATCAAATCACATGCTTCTATCCTTGGACGGCTAACCTTAAATGAAGAATTTTGAGCCACTTTAAAATTAACAAATCTCTTAGAAATTACAAAATTATATTGAATTTCATTTTTTTAGGTTTTAAATTTGCACGAAATTTAAAATGGTTTAAGAATTTCAAATCAATCGAAATTCATCTCTTTATTTTTTTTTTTCATAAGTTTCAAAATTTTACATAATTAAGTCAAATTACAAATGTATTGTTTCAAAAATCAAGAGGATAATTTTGAAAATAGACAGTTTTTTTTTTCTTTTTTTCTTTTTTAAATTGTCTTAGTCTCCATTCAATATAAAATAAATCCCATTTTATTATAAAATTGATAAATCTGCATAAAGCTGGAATTTTATGCGTACACAATTTCTTTTTACAGTAACTAAAAAATAATAATAATTTTGAAATCTTCTGTACTCAATTACTTAAAATAATAATAATAATAATAATAATAATAATAATAATAATAATAATAATATTTACAGTAACTATAAAATAATAATAATTTTAGAATCTTCTGTACACAAATTACTTAAAAGAATAATAATAATAATAATTTTGAAATCTTTTGTACTCAAATTACTCAAAAGAATAATAATAATAATTTTAAAATCTTCTATACTCAAATTTTCAGATACGGTAGTATCGTCACAATTTTCAGCATCATGTCAATATTTATTTTATATATACTAGGTAAATTTTCTTTCAAAAAATTTATAATGTATTTATTTAGGCTTATAATATTTTAGATACTTGTATATAATATTTTCATGTCATATTCAGAAAACATATTTCATACAAATGTAAACTTAAAAAAGTGTTAGGTGACTTCACATCTTTTGATAATAATATAGAAAAGTTTAGATAATTTTACATATGTTAATATAATATTTTATGAGTTTTTAATTGTTTAAAAATATAAATTTATGTTCTCTTGAACAAGCTAATGTTATATCATTTATAATAAACTGATATATCGTAAATTATATGACATATTAACCTCACATCATTAATTTATAATTATTATTTAATATCGTTTACCTTTATCTTTAATTTATAATATTGTTTCCTGCTCTTTTAAAAGAATATCAATAGTGGTTCCCCACTTCTTTCATTGGGTGACTCGAACTCAATACTTATTTATAATAATTATTTAATATTATTTACCCGTGAATCGCACGAGATACGCACTAGTTAAAATATATACGAACATTTAGCATTTTAATTAGAATCATATCCAATCTAAACATGGTAACGAGTAAATAAAAAACTTTGAAAAATTAACTGTTGGAGTTAAAAATATTTAAAATAAAATATTTAAAAAATACGTTTTCCAATAAAGTAATTTGGTGTGAATCTATCATTATATAAAAAGAATAACCTTTTTTATAAATTTAAAAATAATTTCCCGTCAAAATTATTAATTACATACTAAAAATAGCATAATTCAAAAAGTTTTAACTAAATACCCATAATTATCTCAATACAACACATTTTTAATTTTTTAAAAGAATCCTTATTTATATGGATTCTTTCAATTATTTTTAGTATATATATAAAAAAAACCGAGACGGACTATTTTCTACAAAATTAATAGCAATAATTTGGTAATTATAAATATTTAGTGCGAATAATTTATATGCATACGTAATTTTTTATTTAAGTTAATGTGAAATCAATAATTGATCTAAATTTATTGATTAAAAATTTCAAAATTTTTCAATCAATTATTTTATTTCTACCTAATTTATTTTTATTTTTATTGAATGCTACCATAAGATTTGAAAAAAATATTGGTTAATAAAATTCAAAATTTGTAATTTAATTCTAGAAAATTAGTTGATAAATTGGAACTACAAGGTAACTGACAACAACACTAGAAAATTACGAGATTATATATATTTATATATAATATATTCATATATCAAATATATAAAGGAATTTAGTGTTTAATAAATTACTCAACCACTTCATTTTTTTTATTTCAATATTTTATATAAAAACAAAACCATCTAATTAATGAAACAATATAAGATTTATAATTATACTTATTATTCACATATATTTTTAAATAGACGAGAAAAATTTACAACTTGCCTATAAAATCGATTTAAAAAAATTCGATTGTGTTTTTTATTCTAAACAATCAGATTGCCGAAAATTTTTCCTTATAACTTGAATTGAAAATTTGAAATTCAAAATCTCTTCTAATTTTAGTTGCCATAAAATTGGGTTTAATTCAATTTCTCTTCCTAATATAAAGGATTTTGTTCAAATTAGATTTAAAAAATATCTAATCACATGCTTCTATCCATATCCTTAAATGAAGGATTTTGTGTCACTTTAAAATTAACAAACCTCTTGAAAATTACAAAATCATAATGAATTTCTA